GCTTTGACCAGCCTAAGAACCCACCACCCCTCGACATCACCTCTGCCACGTATACCCCTAATCCGTCCACGTGGACCCGTTTCCTAGTTTCCGCCCCCCCTCCAGCCCTCTTTTCATTTTCACACGTCATCATTGTGTTAAAAATGAAAAACATTAGAAAAAATCGCTTCTTAAAGTCACACAAGAAAATGGAAAGGTTAATTTCAACTTTTGTAATTGTTGCCTATTTTAGACAATTTTTCTTTTATTGAAAATTACTCAGGATGACGCTACTCAAGTTTAGTAGTGTCTGCTCTGAAAAGGATAATGTGATAACCCTGGGACTTAGACCCTCAAAACTCAGTCTAAGTAAAGGATGATTTCCACTAAATTAAGTGGTAAGCCACTTGATTTGGAGTGTAAAAATCATTTTTTTCCTTCTGAAATTAGGGATAGTAAAATCAAATAACCCTTAATCCCAATTCTCTAAAATAATCTAATTTCATTAATTTAAATATGAAGTTACTGTTATATTACATTAGACCGTAAAATACCAATCCTCTCACGAGGGACGTGTCCTCTAAATAGTGGGTCACAAGCAAGCCTATATTACATCAAAATGTTTACTTTGAGTTAAATATGTCACTGTTTTAGGTCATAATATGTACTAAACGTTTTTTTAATTTGTGTTTTAAAGGGCAAAAAGGGTTTATTGATTATATTTTTTTATTAATTTGAATGAAAAACTAAAAATAAAATTTATTTTTAATATGAATGTAACATATGTATGATTCTAGTTAAGAGATCAGTAAAATTAAAATTAATTTTTTTGTAATAATTAATAAAAAAATAAAATTATTGTACTATTAATTTGTGTTGTCAAGAATATAGGTTAAAAAAATCCAAACACTCCTCATGAGAAAGATAATAATTTTTTTTAATTTTATCTTTAGAATAAGGATTTGAGGATAATTTATATTTTACCTACACTACCCTTTAAAAAATAGAAATAATGAGATTTTATTTTGATAGGATGGATAATTAATATTAAGAGATGAACCTGACTTTTTAGGTCAAGTGGCTCTAGCCACGTTTGTAAGGTTCATATCCTCCTCCCTCAGGGCAACGGTTTGAGCGGCTCCATGACAAAAATGTTCAAAAAAAAATTAATATTAAGAGATAATGATAAATTTAAAGTGAGAATAAAATATTTATCTTCCTTAAAATATAAAGAGATAACTACTCTCTTTGATTTAATTTAGTTGTTTCACTTTCTAAATCAGGGTGATTTAATTTAATTGTCTCATTTTCCATTTTAATACTCCATTTGTTCAATTTTAATATGTCTAGTTTTTTTTATGAGAAAAGTGCATATTAATT